TACAGCCTGCCTGCTACTAAGGTTTGGGTACTTTTTTTTGCAACATCTAGTAGCAGTTTCAAATTGTCTTCCTGTCAAACATTCTTCTTCTAGGTTGTATAGCACTGGTCTGTGCGTTGCTGTACAGGGGTAACTCGTGGTTGCTGTGATGCTGAAGACTGTGACAGTGATGTGCCAATCGTGGTAATGGGTACTGATGGTGGACAGTGTTGGTGGGAGTTTCCTGACTAAATCAAGCTTGGAAACAGGAGTGGCATCCACTTCGGAAATGGCTTACCTCCAGAAACTCTATGTATGAACAGTGCTCAGGCCATTTGTTCATAGGGTTGCTATGAGTCATCTAAGACTCGAAGGCATCAAACAACAACAACAACAACAGTAGCAGTTTGGGCTAAACTGTTGAGTTTGACCTTGAGATTGTCATAATTAAAAGGGAATACATGATTCATAACCTTTAACTTGAAATTTGTAAAGAATATTTTTAAAGGCATTTAATTGCCAGTTTGGGTCTAGAATCCAGGTAGGAAAGATGTGTGGAGCAGCTGGATTCTACAAAGGTGTGTTTTCTGGTTTTGGTTGAGGTTTGGTTTATTCACAATTGGGTATGAGTTGATTGGATTTGGCCTAGTATTTAAAAAGGCATTTGGTTTTAATTGTTTTCAGTCAAACATTCTTCTAAGGGTATAGCACTGGTCTGTCAATTTGCTGTACAGAGGTAACTCATGGTTGCTGTGATGCTAAACACTATGACAATGATGTGACAAATCTGATAATGGTTAACCACGGTGGACAGTGTTTAGTGGAGCTCCCCAATTAAAACAAGCTTAGAAGCAGGAGTGGCATCCACATTCGAAAAAGCTTGCCTCTGGAAACTCTGTGAACTTGGAGAAATGATGAGAGTTATGCAAGTGTTCAGGTCTTTAGTTCATAGGGTTGCTATGGGTTTTTTATGACTCAATGGCACTTAACAACAACATACATTTAAAGACTCATTAAATACTAACTTCTGTTATCATCCTTTCTTTTTTATCCCATTTTCCAAATTCATTCCCTCATCTTATACTCCTTTGAGGTTATATGTGGAGAGAGGGAGATACCCTGGAGTTTCTGATGTTGGATAACTGATACACCATAAAGCATCCTGAACCAACTGTAGTGTATTGGAAATTTTGCATTTGGTAAAGAGGCATTGAGCAGACACAGAGGGAAGGTGGAGGGGGTTGTGAGAGTGGAGTCTGGGTTATTGAAATTTAAGGATGGTTATGTGGACAGTGCTAAACTGAAAGAAAGGGAGCAAAATAAGCATGGATTGCATCAAAAGGAGGCTAAGGACTCACCTACCTGCTTTTCTCAGAAGCAAGTAATAGAACAGGGCCACAGCAGCTAGGCCTGTTATACTGAGCAGTCCTCCAGTGACGCCTGTGGCTACAAGGCCACTACTGCTTCCTGTCAGGCCTGAGGAGAGATCCCAAGCATTAGCCAAGGAGAAAGGCTTACAGTTTTTACTTGTCCTGAGTCTTGAAGCTCATGTCTAGACCTGGAAGAAGGAGTAAATATAGGAACTCAAAACTCCTAAGGAATCCCTGGGCCAGGTAGTGAGTCAAGAAGTCCCTCTCTGGTGAAGCAGGGGATGATGCAGCACAGAAAAGGAACACTATCTGGTGAGGAAACTTATTTCTTTGTTTGAGACAAAGATGAGCATCAGCATTGGCTATGACTAGTGCAAGAAGAGACAGACAGCAAATGAGCTCCACATTTAATGCTCCCATCTGGCCCTGATTTTCCTTACCAATTATCATTTCCCAGAAAATAATAATTTAGAAAATGCCAAACTGTAAAAATGGTGGGGTATCCCGGCCCGGGGTGAGCCATTGTGGCCCTCTGCCCGGGGCGGGCTGCCCTTGGCCCTGTGCCGGGACGGGCTGCCCTCGGCCCCCGGCTCGGGGCAAGCTGTCACGGCCCTCAGGGTGAGCTCCTCAGTCCCCAGATTGTGGCATCTGACCCCTGGGTGGGGAAGGGGGGGAAAAAAAAGAATGCCTAGGGTATCCAGAGAAGTTACCTAGGCCACCTTCTGCCACCCTTCCCCCCAATAAACCTGAAACCAACACCCTCAAAGCCCTTCTATTTGTAACTCACAAGTTTGTTCTCTCTAGGTTTGCTCCCTTTCCTATAGGTAACCTTAACTCTGAGTTTTACTCCATAATTGACCCTGAACCCAGTGCCAGTGACAAAAAGGAAATACAACTGACAGCTAAGGAAGAAAAGGAGGATGGAGCCTCTGGGTTCAACCAGCCATCCCCACTGGACCCACCTGGGAAAACACTTTGCAGTCCAGAGGGGAGCAAATGACAGGAAAATATCATCTAACAGAGCAAGAAGGCAAGCAGCTGTAACTCAAGACCACCAGTTAGATGATAAAGCGCCCACCCTTCCCCCTTTTACATCTATGCCCCTGTTCAGTATGAAGAAGCCAGAGAGTCGGCATCCAGTTCCCAAATCAGTAAGACAGTTGGTTTAATTACTATTGGAAAATGCTTGTCATTCCTCTGTAGCATCTGGTCCCCACTGAACCCTCATCATTTCCTTCACCTGCTCCCCCCACCGACCAAACTGTGCAGCTCTGCAACTGCATCCTGGACCATCCTCACCCTTCTGCCCCCAACCCTCACCTCCTTGTACCCCCAATATGTTTTTCCCAATAAAAAAATGGTGGGGCATAATTGTAGGACATAGTTCAGATCTGTTGTTCATAGGGTTGCTATGAACTCAACTCGATGACACCCAACAACAACGACTTCATAAGGGAATTGCATGATGCTTCCCAAGTTATTTTGAAAGTTCATACCATGGCAATGACATGTCAGATAAGGGACTTATATTTAGAATTTGTAAAATACTTGACCACCACACCAAGATAAAGATAAATAATCCAATTTAAAAATGGGCACAGGATATGAACAGACACTTCACCAAAGAAGACATTCACATGGCCAACAAACACATGAAGAAATGTTCAAAATCCCTAGCTCTAAGAGAGATGCAAATCAAAACAACTATGAGATATCATCTCACCCCAGTCAGAATAGCAAAATTTAACAGAACAGCAAGCAACAAATGCTGGTGAGGTTGTGAAGAAACTGGAACCCTTATTCACTGTTGGTGGGAGTATAGAATGGTGCAACCACTATGGAAGGCGGTATGGCACTTTCTCAAAAAGTTATAAATAGAGATACCATTTGACCCAGCAATTCCATGACTGGGAATATATCCCAGAGAGACCATAATTGACATCCAAGCAGATATATGCACACCCATGTTCATTGCAGCTTTGTTCACAATAGCAAGGAGCTGGAAACAACCCAGGTGCCCATCAACAAATGAATGGATAGAGAAGCTCTGGTATATTCACACAATGGAATACTACGCTGCAATGTAAAACAAGGAACTCATGCAATATAATTCAAAATTGGTGAGCCTGGAGGTCATTATTCTGAGTGAAATATCTCAGTCACAAAAGGACAAATATTGCATGGTGCCACTGCTGTAAAATGGGACTGATATCCGGGTTGGGGTAAGACTGAGAAAAACTGGATAAATTGTGTATACTGCACTGAAACAGATGAGGGAGAGAATAATTTAAAAGCGATATATGATAGGGTATTATGGTTATCACAAGAGTACACAATTAAGGTTGCATAGTGGAATGTATTTGGGGTGGTGGGAGAGGTGCGGGGGGATTGTGCACCAGGGAGGGAGTGTTTTTTTTTACTTTTCAAAGAGAGGAGCGAACTGGGGGTGTGGGGAGGGCTGGGCCGGGAGAGAAGTGTAGCAATGAATGAATGGGAATCCAAAATCTCTGTAAATGTTCATTAAAATTATTAATAAAAAAAAAGAAAGTTCATACCAGTAGTGAGATGCGTTACAATGGCTTCAAAGGCATGGAAGCCTGGGACTTTGTAAAAGAAAGAATAGAGGAGCATGGACAGTGAAACTGAACTCTTAGATGATTTCTTTAGCTATTATCTCTAGTAAATGAAAGCAAAAGGTGTGTTACAAAAAAGTGAATGAGCAAGAAAGCACCTGAAACTATTTAGAGGGAAAGGCTGGCTGGTTAAGATTAACAGGGAGCCTGGGGTCTTCTGGATAAACTCTACCTCATAAGTCATCCAGTGGCCCAAGATCATATAACCATATATATAAAAGTAGATTTGTGGAAAAATGAAATTGGAATTTTTAAGTAAAATGTTATGTTTTTATTTGAGTGCACTTTGAATATTGACTGTTTCTCATACCTAGTTAATATTATAAAACAGACTTAACCATAAGTGAATAAAAATGATTATTAGGTATTATAGATGACAGAGAATAGTAGCTCTTGAGTAGAGTATATTGTGTTTAGGCAAAAAACCAGTCCCTATCCAGAATATTTCCAGTTAGATAATTTGTATTTAAAAAGATGTATTGATCCACTCAGAACTTGTGAGAGAGCAGAATATTTTCATCTGAAGGAAGGCCTTGCAGAAGGCTAAAGGGAGGACTTTTTTTTTTTAACTTTCAGAAAGTATTTTGCCATTGGTTGCAAAAAAATTTCAATGCTCAACACAAAGAACCTTCTTTTGAGATTATATTTAAAGGGGCCTGGCAAGTAGACAAGTATTCTTGACTCGAGTGACCTGGGTTTGCTCAGTGAGTGGACATGGGAGAAGAGCACCAATGAAGAGAGGAACAAAATTTGGGTATGTTCTGTTGCCATACATTGACATAACCCACAAGGGCTAGACATGAGAGAAAGAGCTTGTTGGTTGGAAGCTATTATAACTAAAGAATTGTGTCCTATTTTCCACTAGAATTGCATCCTATTAACTTAGCTCTGGTGGTCTAGTGACAGAAGCTGTGATGCAATCTTGAAGTCACATGTTCAGAGGCCACCAGCTGCTCTGAGGGAGAGGCTGGGCATTCTCCTGTGTGATTAACTGCTTCTGAAAACCTGCAGAAGGGTCAGGTTATCTTACTGATGAGTAGGTTTCAACTCCATGATAAACAACAACTTTCCTGGTGGCCTAGTGGTAAGAAGCAGCACTGCAACCCCAAAGACATGTGGTTCAAACTCACAAGTTGCTCTGTGGAAGAAGCAAGGGCAGTCTCCTCCCATGCGATTTACTGATTCTGAAAATCCACTGGAGGGTCAAGATAGCACACAGCAACAGTAAGCTCCCCAAGGATGATTATGATTCTGTGAGTTCTATGAGACCACTGCAATGGATTACAAAACCCAGTCATAGACTAAAGAGAGTGCTGATAAGGTTTGACCTCTCAGAAATTAGTTCTGTGCCATTTATTTGTGGTGGAGATTATTTTTCCTTGTGAAGTTAGTGGAGGTCAGATGCCACTGAATGCACTGCTCTCACATTTTAGCACTAGAGATGTTGTGAAACAGAAGTGTGTCAGGGAAACTGGCAACAGAACTAGGAGTGGAGTGAAGATGATGCTGTATTGAAGCAGCATCAAAATACATCTTATTCACATATCTGTAGCTTAGACATAAGAAACTTACCTTTCACAGAGAGCTTCAATACCTCACTGTGTTGGGCCCCTAGGCCGTTGTCAGCCTCACAGGAGTAGTTTCCAGAATGTTCTATTGTTAGAGAGATGTTGAAGGACACTCCTCCTCTAATGGAGACAGAGCTGTTTCCTAGGATAACATCCTTGTGATAGAACTGGTACAGGATTGGGAATGAGCCTTTCCAGGACTCACAGTGAAATTCCACCATGTCTCCCACCGTAAGTTGAGGCCCAGGAGATCTGAGTGTGAGGACTGGGCAAGACACTGGAACTGAAGGAAAAATCAGTTAATAATTTTTACTTCTCATAGATGGGTAAATAAAACAAAACAAACAAAAAATAAACACACACACACACACAACCAAACCAAATCTCTCATCAAATTCATTGCCATTATTTTCTCACTGAGTCAGAACTGACTCATAGCTGATCCTTCAGCGGTTTTTCGATGGCTATAAGTCACTGAGGAGGAGATTGCCCAGTTTTCTCCTGCAAAGCCACTGGTGGGTTTGGATTGTTAGAAAGGTACTACCTTTGATTTAACAGTGCAATTCCCTACACATTTCACCACCAGAGTTCTCTAGTATATGGGTAAAGGCACAAAAAAATAAATGGCCACAGATAGACCTCAATTTTGGAAAAACACATTGAGACTCATATGACAGATGAAGCTAATTACCTTATTCTACAAATCACTTTCAGTGCATTAAGAATTCAGTATATAAGTATGAAAAGAGTGTGAACAACTGAAAATAAAATCTGTTAAATGAGGAAATGACAGCCTCTTTAACAAATCATACTGGCAAATTTGGACATCTATCTCCCTGTAGAAAACGGAAACAGAATCCTCATCTCACATCATACACAAAAACCAACTCACAGTGCATCAGAGCTCGAGGAAGAAAATCCAAAACCATAAAGATTATAAGAGAAAAAAAACCGGGAATAAAATTAGAACCCTGGCCTATGATAGCATAAATAGGCTTGTGAACATAGTAAAAAATATACCACCTGGAGAAGATGGACAAATGCGACCCCCTTAAAATCAAATACCTGTGTGTATTAAAAACTTCCTCGAGTAAAGTAAGAAAAAAAACAACACCCCCCCAAAAAAAAAAGTTCACAGGGGTTTAGAAAAAACATTTGGCAACAGTATTTCAGATAAGGGTCTTTAACCAAAGTTTACAGAGTCTCCATAACAAAAAGACTAATAACCCAATCAATCACACAATGGGCAGCAGCCTAAAAAGATTCTTCACAAAGGATGGTATTCAGATGGCCAAAAACCACATGAAGAAATATCCGAAATCACTAGCAATCAGAGAGATGCAAATCAAAACAGTGGAATATCACCTCACTCCACCAGCAATAGCAAAGTTGAACAAAATAGCAAGCAATGCATTTTGTATTGACACTCTTATGCACTGCTGGTGGGATTGTAAATGGTATAACTGCTATGAAAGGCAGTTTGGTATTATCTCAAAAAGCCATCCCCATTGTTAGTTTTGTTGTTATTGTCATTGAGTTGAATTTGTCTCTATGAACAAAAGATTCAAACCCTGTTTTACCCTGTGCCATCCTCACTCTTCCTGACGCACTGGAGCCCATTGCAGCACTCACTTTGTCAATCTACTTGGTTGAGGGTCTTCCTCTTTTTCCCTGACCCTCCCCCTTTCCAAGCTTGATGTCCCTTTCCAAGGAATAGGCCATCCTAGCAACACACCCAAACTATGTGAGATGAAGCTTTATCATCTTTCTCCAAGGAGCACTCTGGCTGCACTTTCCCCAAGACATATTTGTTTGTTCTTTTGACAGTCAATAGGATGTTCAGTATTATTCTCCAGCACCATAGTTCAAAGGTATTATTTCTTCTTCTGTCATTTTTATTCACTGTCTAGCCCTCAGATGCATAGCAAGTGATCAGAAAGACCGCGGCCTGAATCAGATGCACATTAGTTCTCAAACTGATATCATTGCTCTTCAACAATTTGGAGAGGTCCCACTCTGCATATTTTCCCAGTGTAGTACATCTCCTGATTTTCTGATTGCTAGTACCGAGGATATTAATTGTGTATCCAAGTAAGATGAAATAATTGACAACTTCAATATTTTTTATATTTATTGTGATGTTGCCTATTGGTCCATTAATAATAATTTTTGTTTTCTTGCTATTGAGATGTAATCCATACTGAAGGCTGTATTCTTTGATCTTCTGCAGCAAGTACTTGAAAACCTCCTCACTTTCAGCAAGCAAGGTTAGGTCATGTACTAACACAAGTCATTCATGGCCTTCCTCCAATCCTGATGCCACATTCTTCTTCATAGAGCTGGGATTTTCAAAGAATTTGCTCAACATACAAATGAAACATTTATATAGAGAGGATACAACCCCTGTGCACTCCCTTTCTAATTTTAAAATATGGGTGTCCCGTTACTCTGTTCGCTTAACACCCTCTTGGTCTAGTTTTCGCATGAGAACAATTAAGTGTTCTGGAAATTCCATACTATTAAATGTTAAGAACTTCCATATGACCCAGATATTCCATTAGGAATATATCCCAAGGAAATCAGAACTAAAACACAAAAGGACATATATAAATCTACATTCATAGCAGCATTATTCACAATATCAAGAAAAAGGAAATAGTCAAAATGCCCATCAACAAACGAATGGATTAAGAAATTGTGGCATGTTTACATAATGGAATACTGTAAAGCACGAAGAAATAATTCTTTTTTTTAAAAATACTATAGGACTTTAGATAAACATTCCTCTGGTATTCCCTGCTTTCAGCCAAGATCCATCTAACATTAGCTACAATATCCCTAGTACCACTATCCCTTCTAAAGCCAGCCTGGACTTCTGGCAGTCCTCTGCTGATATGATGTTCCAGTCATTTTTGGATGATCTTCAGTAGAATCTTGCTTACATGTGAAATCAATGAGAATGTTCCATAGTTTCCACACTCTGTTGGGTCACCTTTTTTTTTGGATGGGAACAAATATAGATCTTTCCCAGTCAGTTGACCAAGTGGTTGTTCTCCAGATTTCTTGGCACAACTTGGTGAGCACATCCAGGACAGCATCTGTTAGTTGAAATATCTCAACTGGTATACCATCTTATTTTTTGCTGTTTCCTTCAAAGCAGCCTGAACTTCTTCCTTCATCACCAAATGGCTCTTGCTCATATATTGTTTTATTAAATTCTTCTGTGTCTGCCAATTCCTTTCATACAGTGTCTATTTGTGTTTCACTGACAATGCAAAGGCATTTGACTATGTGGATCATAATAAACTGTGACTGACTCTGAGAAGAATGGGAATTCCAGAACACTTGATCGTGCTAATGCAAAAC